ATATAGGGTTTTAGTTCTCATTATAATACACACAAATTTATTAACTTTTATTCTCTCTTTTCACAACACTAAATAATTTATTTAAATTTAGTTGTAACATTTTTCAAGTTTTTCTAATGATAAACCTACCGAACCACGATCAGATACTGAGTATACAATTGTCCCCTTGTATGAGAATTGGCAACAACCTTCAATGCATACATTCTCATATTTACGACGTAAAACTATGGGAATGAATGCTAATAACTAATTATATCGTGATCAATTGCATGATATTTAATTCTTACTCTTTGTGCAGCCTCCTCCTCAAAGTTCGAGTCTTCTATCACCATCTCGACTTATTCGTCTTTTATCTTTTGGGTCCTAAATCTCACTACAGTATACCTCAATTATCAATTGGACAACAACATGACCATTCTTCAGCACATGTGGATCCGTCGATCGAGACACGAAATCACAATTGTATCTGATAAGTGTGCTTTTACACATTTATTGGACACTTAAATCGAGCTAATATTGATTAAATGAGTGGATTTCTACTCATAATTGTGTAATTTTGATTTTTGTAGGCAAAAACCCCGAATTGAAGGAGAAAAGGGCAAAAGGAAAGGAAAAATGACTAAAATTGTACAAAAATGTGAAGCTAGGGACCAAATGTACAAGTGTTGAAAGTTGAATGACTACAAATGCAATTTATTGAGGACATAATCAAAAGAAAAGTTAAAATTCGAGGATCAAAATGTACAAGATCAAGTTGAGAGACGAGTGTACAATTCGGTGGAGGACTGAAGCCGCAAAAAAATGACGAACCGTGCGGTACAAGTCGGCACGGCCGCGCCGGCCGTTTCGAGCAGATTTTTCTTCCCGTTTTTGTAAATTGGGAATTCTTTTGGGGGCTTTTTGGACATTTGTTAAGACTCGTTTTTGGATTATTTTTAAGCCTATTTTCAACAATCCTCTGTTCATCCATTTTTGGGAGCTAAATAGTAGGGGTGGGCATGTGTTGGGTTGTGTTGGTTTTTGCCTCAACCCAAATCCAACCCAACATGATCGGTTTGATCATAATTTAACCCAACCTAACCTAATCCGTGTAAAGGTTGAAACCTAACTCAACTCAACCCAACCCAACCCAATCAAGTATCGATCGAGTTGGGTTGGTCAGGTTAGAACAACTTGTCAACAAAAACTAAAGTAGGCGGGTCGAGTTGGACGAATTATTTGGTCTCCATAGTTGCAATGAACAAAAAAATCTGAATTATTTTGGCACTTCATGCCTGAAAATGTTAAATGGACAAATTGATATTAAATTATATGAAGTCAAGAAATATTTTTGTATTGAATGTGTATTTGCTTATATTATTTTTCGTAAAATGCATTTTATCCAAATCCTATAATATTATTCTAAGAATTTTCAAGCAACATCATAACACTTGTAAAGTTCATAAATATAGTTGGATTGGGTTTGACGGTTTTATTCGATTTTTATGAGTTAACCCACAACCAACCCGACCCGCCTACATAACCAACCCATCCAACTCGTGTAAAAACAACAAAAAAATCAACCCAAACCAATTGGGTTGGTTCGGTTTGGGCAATTTTGACGGGTTCGGTCGTGTTTTGCCAACCCCTACCTCTCGATGGCAGTCCTTAGTATTGTATGTCGAGTGTGTCAAGAAGTTGTGGTGTCTAAGTGCATTAAGCTGTCCATTTCAAATGGTAATTTAAATTTTATAGTGTTGAAATTCATATTATTATTTTTCAAATTCTAAGGGTAGAAATTTGATGATAATTTGGGAGGGAAGAATGGAGATCAAATATGTGAGGTCCAAATATTTCCCTCCTTGAAGAAGTTTTGGACCAAACATTTTCCCTCCATTCTACCAAACAGATAAAATACATTAAAATAAATATAATACTACACTAGTCTTGTATTAATCCTCAATCTAATATTATTCTAAGAGTTTCCAAACAATATCATAACACTTGTAAAATTCATAAATATAATCGAGCTGGGTTGGGTTGGACGAGTTTATTCGGTTTTTATGAGTTAACCTATAACGTAACCCGCCTACACAATCAACCCACCAAACCCGTGTAAAAACAACAAAAAAACCAACCCAAACTGGTCGGGTTGGTTCGGTTTGGGCGATTTTGGCGAGTTCAGTCGGGTTTTGCCCACCCCTACTAAATAGAGAGAAGAGAGGCAAGGGAAAGAAGAAAAAAAATCAAACAAAGTGGAAGGAATTTTGGAGGAAATCAAAACCAATTCATACCATTGCTTCAAGAATCTCCAAGGGAATGATTCTACCCATTGTCTTGTATTTCTTCCTTTATTTCCTCTATTTGGTAATGTATTTTTCTAATTTTTCTATTTTCTGCCATTTTCATACAATGAACTTAAGTTATTAATGTATGGATGAGTGAGGAAACTTAAGGTAGCTTGATTAATTTTAATATTTGCACTTTAATTTTTAAATGTTTATTTAAATATGTATTTACTATTGTATTTCATGTTATTCATTTATTTGACCAATAAATGATTGTGTTTTGTGAATTGCATAACAATTGAGAGAATATTGTGCATTTTAGACTAAGTAGTAAATGTCCCAAATTCTCGTATGAGATAATGATATACTCATAACTCTAGATGACTCATTGATATGTTTTCACAAAGAGTTAATGCAATTGATTGTGTTTTTATCAACATAGATGTATAATATGTTAAACCAATCAATTATGACTAATTTCACTTGAGAGATACAATTAGTTAAAATAGAAAAATCAAGTTTAACCTAGTAATGCAATGGTTAAGTGAAATCTTGAATTCCAACTACTTCATCCTCCCAATTCCTCCCAATTTTAATTTTTAATTATTTTTATTATTTTCAAAATCAAATCTTATCATGTCTTACACTGTTAGAATTAAATTAATTATTGTGTAATTAAAAATAAATATTTCTCGAGGGATCAACTCAGACTTATAGTCCACTTTATTACTTGAACATGATTCGTGCACTTGCGGTTTCTAGTTTTAGCGAATAGTATATATCATTTCCTTTCGAGACTTAGAAAATTGAGACTTTGAATACTGCATTGGAAATTACTTATGTGGAGTGATTTTGACTAATTGACTTAAAATAAAATGTTTTGAGTTGTTTATAATAACACAGTAGGACATAGTTTAAAACTAATTTAATGTGTAAAAAGTAAATAGGAAATTGAATAATATACTATTTTAATATTATTTATGATAACTTTGTGTTTGTTGAGGAACTTTTTTATTAAAAGCTTGTTTGAGCCTTTTTTTTTTCAAAAAATACATTTTGTAATAGTGTTATGATGGAGAATTGTGGTTAAAAAATAAAAAAAATGTTTTAAATTTGCGTATAATATTATTTTATTGAAAAATATCTGATTAAAATGAGATCAAATCACTGTTCAAAAACACATATTAATGAAAAAAATGGGGCTCAAGCATGTGAGTACTCTATTATGAAACTTACAACTTTTTCTTTGTCCCAACAAAATCCCATTATATCATACGTTAATGCATTTATTCGGACGTTTCAAATTCTGATTAATTACAAATATTTATACTGCAAGAGGATTAACAGAGAATCAAGTAACAAATTAAAAATGTAAATACAATTGTGATTTACAATTTCAATAAATTACAAAAATAACATAATTAACACAACTCTGCCATTAAGAAAAATTTCGATTTTAAAATAAAATACACACACTAAAAAAGGAAATGACACGTAGCCGTGTTTGAGTCCCATTTTTGAAAAAAGGGTATTTTGGAATAATGATTTTTTTTTGGAAAATGTATGTTTGAAAAATAAGGAAAATTTTAAATTTACGCGTAAAATTATTTTATGAGAGAATTTGATTAAAAATGAATTCTTAAAAAAAATGAGAATTTGTAAAAATAGAAGCCAAACCATTCTAATTTATTAGACGCTGCAATTTGCGAAAAGTTATATACACACCAAATTGTTAAAGTGTAATTGCTGATTTTTTTCTTTCGGTAAAAGTTGTAATTTTACAAAATTTAACCAAAATCAATATAATTCAACTCACTCCATATTTTATTCATATTTTTGTAAACTGCCCATTTTATAACCATTATTATGCCCCTGTTTGATGACCATTATTTTGCGAAAATGAAGTTTTAAATAATAATTTTTTGGAGAATGTATAGTTAAAAAGTAAGGAAAAATTTTGAATTTACATACAAAATATTTTATTGTGTAAACGTGTGGTTGAAAATGAGTATGAAAATTAAAGAATTCTAAAATAATGGTGGTCAAATAGGAGCTATATATATATATATATATCAAATCCAGTTACATGTACAACAATCTCACATTTCGGCTTAACGCTTGGGGCACATAAACATATTTCTTCATGCAATATTTTCTTTGCATCTACAATCACTGGCGGAGCAAATAGGGAGGGGTGGTAACTGGCCTAGCAAATTTTGTATTTTTAAATTTATGCAGAAATTTTGATTTATTTATTATTATTAATATTTTGAATATAGACAAATACATGTATATTTTGCCCTTCAACATTTTTTCACAACATTGTGAGAATTCTAGCTCAATCACTGGTTTCTTCAATGAAACTGCGAGAATCGAGACCTCAAAATAGAAACACTACCAAAAAAAATTCAATATTTTACTTTCGAGATCATATTGACATATACATATTATCATTGTTAAGGATTTAGAGCTAAATTAGTACTAACTGCTATTTTTATCCAGTACTAAGAGATGGAATTATGCAGCAATTTAATACTTATCCTTTCTTCCTATGCCTTTAAACTTCAATATTCAACAACATTGAATGAACCACTAATCAAGAAACAATTATGCAAACGATTTACAGAAAATAAAAGGAAAAAAAAATATATTAAGCCAGCATCTTAGTTGGTAACTAAATGTAGCCAAAAAAATTAAGACTAAATTTTTGAAATAATTTTGAGGATAGCCAGCTTACTCCGCAGAAGGTGATGATAACAAGTTCAAAAGGAAGCCAGCCATAATTCCAATGAGTCCCACAATGAGTGCAAATCTAAAGGAGAAACCTGGATCAACTTTACGATTTCTACGTCTCTTGAGAACTTCCTGCAAGTGAAAGCATCGGAATATGAGCATGGAATGACCATCTAAGCGTGTGTTTGAAACGACCAATGAAGGTGGGAAGAGAAATCGAAAAAGATTGTATCTAACATGAAGTCCATTTATCTTGAAATGAAAATGATCATCCCTAACCTACCAAAAGGTCACCAAAAAAGGATATCAATTGATAATGTTAAATCAGCTTTTCATTGTAGCCCTTATCTCTGAGCGTTTGACAAAAGGTCTATATATTCCCACTAGGATGTACAAGAGCAATCTAGGAAATACGCAAACCAACAAGTTCTATTACACTTTTTTTTGTGAGTGCTAAGTTCAGTATATATTTATACATCACGCGAACAAGAGAAAGGCAAGTGCATTCACCAGGTCTAGTTGTAGCTGTTGTGTTTGACGGACAGCTGCATCTCTTTCTTCCTTGAGACTCTGCAAAGTTTGATTCTGCAACATGAGAGAAAAAATATTGCTCATCTAAATAGTAATAAAGGAAAGAGAACATAAGTTCAAATTTCCACATTGCTTGAATACCAAACTTCAAATATTTTAATTTAGTAAGCATTATATACTAACAGTGTATCATAGTTCCTGGGTGAGCAATCAAAAGTTTTGGTTTGGGCACGAAGGTTACTTGTGAAGGATAGTTTGGAAAATAAATCAGAGAATGGATAAAGGTGGTAAAGGAATTTTGAGAACAGAAGGCCCATCTCTCTTCAAGAATTTGATAACGCATGCAGGCCATGCTTGAATCCCACAGAAGATATATCTTGAACCCATTAGAGCCACCTCGATGAGCCCACTTCTAACCACCAAGTTCCATTCCCCTGGCTAGTCTAATTACTAGATTCCAGAGACAGACATCCTATTTATGTGATCGTGATGCCTAAAAACTGGCTTCCAAAGAGTCACATCGTTGTTTCAAGAGAAAACCAAAATACTTCTATCTCTGAAGTCTGATGTGAATTCCTCGAGGAACCATCTCCTAGCATAGTCCAACACCAGTGGCAAGGAAAGAGGTTGATGTGAGAGTGCAGGAACAATACGATCCTAACTAGAGTAATGAAAAGACTAATTCAAGCTTAGAATCTGTGGTTTAAAAGCGGATAAAGCATTGTATGAGCAAGGTCAAGAATGGAATAAAGGTAAGCAGAACAAAGGGACTAAAAATGTGAAGGAGATTAAGGGTCTGTTCCAGGATAAGAACCACCGTAGAACAGGGAATTTGTCTTTTTCAAGGTTTTTAGTTGCAATCGGTTATAAACTTACAGAAGCCTTTCTTTGGTTGTGTAAGGCATGGATTAAGGAGTTGGAAGAAGGAATTTAAGGGCTATGGTCCGAGTTTTCGTTGAAGTAAGCCCGCAATAAATAATAGAACATGCATGACAAAAGAAATTTTATTGAATTGAACGGTCAAAGATAATCTATAGGTGCCTAATCCTAGTAGGAAAGGGACTTGTAGTTAAGGAAACTCAACATTCTAAGCTAAGGCTCTTCCACTATTGATAGTCCCCCAGTAAATTTAATACTGTTAACATTAATTAAACTAATTTAAGATCCATGGAATGTGAATATTGATCCATATTCAGTAAACATTTACAGGATAAAATACCCTTGATGCTAAAATATAGAATATCCTAAATGCTTCAAGTTCCAGCTCCACATGAATTATGATTTGTTTCATCTCAAGCTAAAACGTGCTTCAAACCCAACTATTTACGAAATTCCAAACTGCCTCCTATGTGCATGAAGCGATGAGGCATTAGTTCAGTGTCCAACATGTCTTATAGTATCATATCTGATAAAGCATTAATGTTTCATTTCACCAAGATATTTACGTCAGAATAAAGAAAGCTTCAAAATTTGGAAAACCAGAAGTTATTAAGCCAGCTACCAAAAGGGTATCAGACAATAAATGTAAACCAAAAAACAAATATATCAAGAAACTAAGGCACAAAGTAATTATGGTTTCTATTCTCGTGATCATTAGTGCCGTATCCCATTTTTGTCCCCTAGATTTCCTTCTAGACACATTTAATTTGTTAATTTCAATTTGTAGGGATCATTGGAAGCAGAGGTGTGCATATGTATGGCATGCACTAACCTAATACCACATGCTTGGCACCTGAGACAAAACATAAAAACATAAATTTCCTACTCCAAATTTCCAAATTTCTTCATTTGGCAGGTAAATGAACTGAGCGAAAAGATGAATGGATTGAAATGGAAGTGACCCAATATCTATGGGATCAAAATTGCAAATAGGTCAAAAAATTATGGGAAAGCACATACCCAACTCAGAAACGAAGACATCAGAACATATACATGACACGTATTATATAAACACATATACATAATACATGCACACAGACATAAATTCACACATTGGTATACATGTATATGTCTATGTATATGTGAGTACAAGGCATTGATCATGGGGTCTGATTTCAGCTAACTCAAAAGAAGGTGCGAGATAAAGGAATTGATACAACCTAACTTGAAGCCCTAGTTTCTCACTGATCTCAGAAGAACAGAAAAGCCAACGGCAAGTTTTGTTTATAAGCACTGTTGAAGTAATTTCATATCGGAAAAATAGGCAAAACGGGAAGACATTACGTAACTAGGAAAAAATAATTGTTAGATCTTAAGATATCATGAAACCAAGAAATCTAAATAATATCTGAAGTCAAGGAAAATACAGTAACTCGTGCTATGGAATTTACCATTGTTGATCTACTCTAATTAAAAAGTAACATTTAATTCTTTGTTATGACATAATTGTAGTTGGGAAGAAATTCAAGTGTCATATGCCCCCAGGTAGATGTTAGAACTGTTTCATAGAAGTTATTATGCATCCTACCTATGCTTGTTTCCCTAATAGTTCTACATACTTTTTCCTGCGATTTTCTGTATTATTTATTTTAAAAGATATTTTTCTCTTACATAGCTACCATGTAAAATGCAGCATGCCTCATCTTATGCCTTCACCTTTAAACACTGGTGTTGACCTTAAGAAAGTCCACCTAAAGGAAATAATTATGAGAAGACTTGGACAGCATAAAGATAATATAAAACGCAAGTATATAACTGTTGAAATTGTATTTCAGCTGCCTGAGGCTGTGAAATGCAAGTTATAATAATTGTGCTAAATCATAAATGAAATGTGATGTTTATATGGCATTGCAAGCACGACTTCCAATAGTAGGTGTTTTCCTTGTAGAAAGAATAGACACAGTGGTATCATCAGTGCCATGTGAATAGCAATACATCCAGATGTATGTTTAATTGACTGATAAATAAACTAAAATTGCTCATAAGAAGTCAAGCAACGAAAGCAATCACGCTAATGATCTGCTGAAGGAAAAGCGATAAACTAATATTTATACCATTGAAGATCACAGATCAATTTCTCTTGATCATTTCAAAGTATATTGTACTAAATTGTGAATTACAACCATCAGAGGAATGTTGGATTGAACAGTATGAGCTTGAAACAGATAATTTATGAAATAGGGAGAAAATTGGATTTTTATAAAAATTTGATGGAGTACACAAAGAAAAGATGAATTGTAACAAAATCCACATGGCTTACATCAAAGTTTTGTTCATATCCATCTTGTACGGTTCCAGACGCTGACTGAGGGAACATGTAGATGACCTTAAGCTTGCACTCCTCTATTGTTCTTTCGCCTTCCTTACTAAACTGGATGCCCCATTGTCATTTGCCAGAGGAAAAAAATGTAATTTACATTCTATGGACGTAATGAAACTAACGGTATAAGGGAAGTATACTAAAATATCTTACAGTATCAGTCGAGAGCTCATTGACATCAGTATGTGGAGCAACTGTTGTGCTTTGCAGGAGAAATTTATCTTTAGATTGCTTATCTGGGGGATATTCCCGTTGAGCTTGAAGGGTGACTGTATATGCATCAGAAGGTAAAATAATAACAATAAAGGATGGAACATTGGGTCAAATAGTGCACCACACACAAGCAATTGATACATGAAGAGAGACATCCATTCAGTTGAATGTACAATCTTTACAACAGTTAGCAGTACCACAACCAAGCATGGCCCACATAACACTGAAACTAGTTGCTCTCTTCAGAAGTCTAACATTTGGGCTATAGTACTATAAAGATCGATATCAAAATCCCCATAAAGAAACTTCATTTGAACTTGAATCTAGAGGTGTTACAGCTGGGGATAAAAATGTGCTTATTTTGCAAACTATATTAAGGTCAGGGAAAACCCAACAGCCAGTCACTGTTGTTACAAGGAAAGATATGACAGATATCACAGAAGATTTTAATCTATGATATTAGAATTCTCTATGGCTCCATTCATCATCAATTAAGACAAATTGTAAAGAGAGATTGCCATATTGCAGGTATCTTCAGAATTGACAGGTGCATAGACAATAAATCCCACAGCTCTACTGTTGGAATCTATTTTGTTTAATTATAAAGCTTGTGATAGAATCTAAGTGATGGAAACAAGAAAAAAAGAGTCTACAAGGGATAAAGAGGCGAGGCAGTTGGCTACATGTGATCTAGAATATGCAAATAGGTGCCTCACACTCACTTCTAACTAAATTGAATTTTTGACTCCTGGGTATCTATCATAAAGTCGATATATGTACATGTGTAATATACTGCTTTGCAGGTATTTCAGTGTCAAAAGCCTTCCTATGTTTATGAATAATGATACAGCATCAAAAAGCTATTCCACATCGAGGCACAGACCTTAACAATATTTCATACACCTAATACAAATAAGAAGTATTATAGATAACCACCTCTTATGATGCAAGAGTCCCAAGGAAGTACCACGCCAGTGTTCGGACGCACAAAGTACTTCTTTGGAGAAGTAGTTTTCACCTAAAATAAATAAATGCACAAATTTACATTCAAAGATGTAACAAAATGACATACAATATCAAGTTGCAAGAAATCAATTCTGTGATTGCGTATGGAGTACCTTGAAAGCAACATGGTGTTCAGTTCTGTTTGTAACTTTAAGATCACAGTAACTTTGTTTCTCCAGCTCAACTGATCAAAGAAATATTCACAACAATGCAGTAAGTAATCATGACCTTCTACAATATGTTAATCAACTATGATGCAACCCTAGAGATGACTTTTTATCTCGTTGCTTTAGATCTTCCTTTCACAATACAATAATTTAACCAGGAGACTACCATGTACAACAATCATAATGAAGCAACCAGATGAAAGTGGAGAAAAATACAGGAGAGATGATTTTGCGAATAGTGCGACCGATTTTGCAAATGTTCCTTTGAGCATATAGATTATTAGCCCAAGCCTGAAGTAATGCCAAACTTTGTAATGTAAATCCAGGGGTGTTAAGTGGGGTGAGCCACTAACCACCTTGCCTCGTCCCGAACGAGGCAAGCCATGGTTGAGTTGGCTCGCAATCCGCTTGCCATCGAGAGTGAAAAAGCAATTTCTAGTTAAAAAAAAGGGCTCGGGTGGGGCGAGCTGAGCCTGGTTTTCGGAAACCAGCCAGCTCGAGCTCCGCCCATTTAACATCCCATGTAAATCTTTCAATTATCTGTGAAAAGTTGTTACAACTATTTTGACTGCATAAATAGATATATCTTTTCATTTGCTTTATCTATAACCATTATCTCATTTAAATCACAGACGCTTAGCTCCAACATTTTTCTATGTTCCCTGAGGATGCCCTCTTCATAGATTGAAGGTGAGTTTGGCTTCCTAAAGATGCCAATGCTATTGTCCTTGAATTTCACATGGCAAAATCATCAAACCTAAAGTATCCTCTTCTATGTCCCCATATTACCCCCAAAGATCCTCTTTATCATGACCCTCAATGTGTATACCAGTGCCACCACTCCATTCAACTCTTGATTCTCACAAGTAAATGCCATTTGATATCCAACATGCTTTAGCTTCATCTATATCTCAAATTCTAAATACGGTATGAGGATGGACTGAGAGTTGATTGGTTGATTTCAGAAGTTTGGAATCAGAATATGCACAACATAACGATGATAAAAGAGGAATATCTAAAATCCTATTTTCCCAAATTTAATCAAATCTTACCTTCACCAAACATTTAACTATCGCTCACATGCATGTTTAAATTCAATCTCTCGACCTCATTCTTTCATCCAAAACAATCAACTTTACATTTAAATTCAGACTACACACATTGCCAGGAGTTCCATCTGTTTCTTATAGCCGGTTGATCCATAAACAGAAATTATTGAACCTTAAAAATCCTTACTTTGTGAATAATTCATTAAATTCTCATTTTCATTCGCTACATTATATACTTCAGCCTCGCACAAGTAAAACAAAAAACAGAAGCAAGAAAAAGAACAGAACACCAAACTTAGAAAAGTTGAGAGAAATCACATTGAAACTTGAGGTCTTCTGGTTGTACAGAGATCAACTGATTAGCAACACTAGTCATGGTAGCAACGACCACAGCAGATCACTACTCCAAAAGAGAAGCAAAAAAAGTTTCAACCAACGAAACAATCAATCAATCAAATCCTACATAAGAACCTGCAACAAACAATCAACAGTAGAAAATGCAAACCCTAGGTCACCAAAAAATTAGTAGAATAACAGAAAAGTAATATGAAAGTGTATGAAGGAACTAGAACATAAAGAGAAAATGAAGGAGCAAAATTAGGATCACGCAGAAACTGACAAACAATTCTTCACCTCAAAAATCGCTTCGCTGGTTCGAAACTCCGAATAATTGCAAATTTGATCACCATTAGAATTTGATTTATTTCTCAATGACCAGAAAGAAGGAGGAACAATTTCGGAGAGGAGGAGGACACGTGTTTAAAGAGGAGAATGAAAGACGCCCGCTTCAAAAGCAAACTCCTGGCTGGTTGGGTATGTGTCCTGTTCTGACACGTGTCATCCAGCTTGGATTTGCTCTTTAGTTTCCCAAGCATTGACCCATATGAATTAGAATAATACTATTTAGCCCCAAATTATAACTCAATTTAAGTGTTGATAGACTAATAGGGTGTTTGGTGGAAATTAAAATTAGATTTTTAGTAGATTTTGATAAAATTTTTTGAAATGTGTGATTGAAAAATTGTGGAACCCATGAAAAATGTGATTAATATTAATTGTTCGACTTTAATTTAGATTAAAATCAGATTTTAATCCGGACCAAATATGTCCTAAATAAAACACTTATCATTTAACGTCACATTAACTCCACATAATTATGATCCCATCAAATGTGGAGTTTTGTCATTTGTACGCAGAGATTGACACTACGGTGTACACCCCACTCACCATGAAGAGGACCCCGTGATCAATAAAAAAATTGTGGACCTCCATTGTTAGGGGGTCTGTACGCATAGCAAAATCCTAAAATGTATTGTTATAATTAATTATTGATTTTGATTTAGAATTTTAATAATATTTTAAGTTACATCAAAGAGAGACTCAACTGATAACTAAGAGAGATTAAAATTAGATTTTTAGTAGATTTTGATAAAATTGATAGAATCCGTCTTTGGGACCAATGAGATATGTGGTTAATATTGAACGTTTGACTTTGATAATATGTGGTTAATATTGATTGTTTGATTTTTATTTAAATTAAAATATGATTTTAATCAATACCAAATAAGAACTAATTTATCCTCTGTTTGGCCTTTTTTTTTGGGGGAAAAACATTATTTTGAATAGTAATTTTTTAGAGAATGTGCAGTTAAAAAGTATGAAAAAATTTTGGGTTTAAGTGTATAATATTTTATTGTATAAATGTATGGTTGAAAATATGTAGAAAAAAGAATTTTGAAAGAATATGAGACAAGGAGGGAGGGAGATATCCGGATCAATAACACTTATTTAGTCATATTTTATTTATTATCTTTTTTTTTTGTTAGTTAGTTAGTTTTTTTCTCTTGAGTAAACCATTTTCCAAGAAATAAGACGAATTTAGGTTGTCTTGATAAGACTTCATTCTTATCACTTGAATTAGATCTGGATCTCGATTCTTGATTATGGCCTTGTTTGATCCACATTTTTAAAAAAAAATGCATTCTTTCAATACTCATTTTTAACCACACAATTTTCAATAAAATGATATTACATTGAAATGAAAAACTTTTCCTTCTTTTTAACCATATATTTTCCATCACATCACTATTTAAAATACATTCTTACCTTAAGAATGTGTATCAAATATGGGATATATGTTTCTTCATTAATGAACATGCACTAATTATTAACCTCATAATTATTTTGATTGTGTGAAGAAATGTCTTTTCAGATACCAACTCGTCATTTACTTCTCCATTCTTAGATGAACTATAATCATTAATCTCGTGATCATCCCACCAAATTTAATACTCATTCCGTTCCAATTATATTGGCTGGATTTCCTTTTTCTCTTATTCCAAATATATAGGCACGTTTCTTAATGTAGAATATTTTATTGTGTTCCTTTACTAATATGCATTTATTAAATTTTCCCCACTTAATATGACAACTTCTTGAAACCATCCAAATACACACATTTCCCACTTCTTGGAAGCATTGAACAACTCTCATTTCTTCTTCTTCTTCTTCTTCAAATTCTTTATTAATTCCAATAATAATTTAGTTTTACATACTGAAAATATTTATTCTCATTTAATCCTTTCTAAAACTGTTTTTAATTAAAAAGTTACTCATTAAAGAAATTTTCTTAATCCCTGTGAAAAACGAAACAAGTCTATATAATTGGGACGAAGAGAATACTTTAGTTACTTCAAAAGCAATACACGCGTTGATGTACAATCGTTGGAATTTGTCTTTCAAAAATTGTGAAGTGCATTAATCTCAAGAAGCAGTGCTATTTAGCACCATTGGTGTTAAAACTCCAATTTAGGTAGTACAACATGATATTAAATAAGAGATACAATTAAATGAATAATTGAATTCTATCTTTAATTAAGTATTATCATTTAATGTCATTTAAATTAGTGTTCTATCATCAATGGTTTTGATCATTCCCATGTCTTCTTTAAATTTTGCTCTAAATTAGCTACATTTTAAATATCTGTTGAAGTTTTTCAGTATAATTCCCACACAAACTACCTATAATAACTCCTTTATTACATAAAATTTATCACTATACTACACTTTATACAACAATTTTTCTTTCCTTTATAATAACTTCACTACTTTTTATAATAAAATAACAAAAATATGTGGTTGAAAATGAATTTTGAAAGAATGTGTACCAAATGGGGGCTAACGTATAATCAACCTTTGTTAGAAGGAAGAACATTGAGACAAAATCTATTATCTCAAATGTTTTTTTTTACAAAACGTGTATATTGGGCCGATAGTTGAGGCCCAAATAATAAAAGACCCCGTTCAACCTGAACATAGCACATGATGACAAGATTCACAACAGTTGGGAGAAACGAAAAGGCATACGGAGAATCTCTCCCACCTGTAGTTCCGTACCTTTGAATAGTTTTGGAGCCAAATAAAGAAAGTTAAGACTAATGAACACAAAAGAGAAAATAGTGGTGAGAATGGAGAATCCTTTTCTTTGAAAGTCGGTTAAGTATTCACTGGCTTTGGAATTGGCTGTGGCATTGGCATTGGCATCGGCATCGGCGTTGGTCGCCCTTTAAATTTAGGTACCCAGTTTTTACCTTTTTTCAGTTTTCTCTCTTCAATTATCTCTCTCTCTTTCTAGACTCGAAGCTATTGATTGAAGAAATACGAAAATGATGAACTTCGGGGTTTGTTTAAACCCAAAGAAGAGAATACCCAAAATTCATGTAAAACTGTTTTATTTTATGCTTGTATTATTGCACATGTTTGATTTATTTGTTGGAAAATTAGATTTTATTAGTTGGTTTGATCAATTTTTGACCATGGGTTCCGTTAGTTGAACAAAATATTTCTTTGGCTTAGTGTGTTATACTCTATGAGTAGATTAATGTAATATATTTATTTTTTCAAAACCAATTTAAGGTGAATGATGAATTAAAGCCAAAAGATGACCACTTGAAATTGAAATAAATTGGAATAAAAATTGGTGGAAAATTGAAAAAGTGCAAATTCCACATAGGAAAGTTAGAAGAATATAAACTACTTTATATTACTCAAGTTTGAGACTTGAGTTTGAGCCCCAAGGAGTACCAATAGTTTTTGAAGGGGAAATAACCTACATGTTAGTAGGTTAGACCAAAGCCCACACGCTCGTGTAGGCGGCGGCTCGGCTTGGTACGATCACGAGTTGTGGGCTTGGATTTGGGCCAAGCTAGTGGTGTCAACGAGTCGAGTCGAAAAAAAAAAGATCGAGCCGAGCCCGAGCTTTTTTTGGCCCGAGCCGAGCCTGGCCAAAAAAAATGAGGCTCGGCCCGAGCCTTAACGGACCGAGCCGGCTATGATTTTTTTTTTAAAATATAAATTGCAAAAGTACGTAATAAAGGTCATTGAACTTGTAAGGGTGTAATTTTATGAAAAAGTGACTAGATTTTAGTGGAACACGTTGGAAGTTGATAAATATTTATATTCTCATTAAGACCAGGCAAAGTTATATGCTTAGTTATTTATTATTTCAAAAGATATGCCACTACTTCAATACTCAAAATTAAAAAAAAAAAAACTGTACATTTTATGCGTGTTATAAANATAATATATTTAATTTATATTATTTTATTCCCTATTTTTTGTGTGTGACACGTGGATTCTTCTAGAAGAACGGTTGACGGTCCAAACGATTTGTGTCTGTTGAAGATACAACTTTTTGGCTGTTGTGTCTTTTGGACACAACCTTTCAACTTCTATAAATAGGCCCCCATACCCCGATTTTCATTCATTCTAAAATCAATTTTGATGTTAATTAATCAAAGGTCCAACCGATCACCACGCCTGTATTGTAAATATGCAGTTACGAATAATACCAAAGTAATAGGAATTATACCTAACACAATTCTTTATTCTTCTTTCGAAATTATCCATTCGTCCCTGCATTATTCATATTTTGTAATCCAACATCGAAAATAATTTTTATGCATTTTAGTCCTTGAGTTTTTTAGAGAGATCAAAACGTGAGTAGGTTCGTCGAGTCTTGTAATTTGTAGTGCTACTATTACATGTCGAGGTCGTTGTATTTTGGGAGACGAGTGCCGGAATACCTCAACACCAGTGCAAGACATTATCGTCTTAATGAGAAAGAGTCGAACTCTTGCCTCAACCATTAACATTTTATAGCATTCAATTTTTTACGACGTTATTCTGCCCAATTAATTTACGGTGATATAATTACTTACCAACTTCCAACAATCTTAAGACAATAATGACAAGTAATACATCATCGTCATACCCCCTAATAATGCTCACGGGGAGAAACTAAAAAAATTCACGGGAGTGAATTTTAAGAGATGGCAACAGAAAATATTGTTTTATCTCACAACTCTGAATTTGGTA